CAGGTATGGGAACACCTGCTACGGACTGACTCAGGAGGTCTGCCAGAGAGGTGAAGAGCCCCCATTTCAAACCAGCTCCTGGGCAGTGCTAATGTTGCTGGTCTGGGAGTGCTCTATCCTCCCCAACACAAGCACACTTGAAACTGCAGGGAACCCAAAGCATCCAAGTGAAGGGCAGGGCTCTTAGCCAAAGGAACTCAGCCATCCTCCTGCCACAAGTCACAAAAAGCAGCCATGCACAAGCCTTGCAAACACACACAGGTGCTGCCAGCACAACCCTACAGGTCACCTTTTCCTCTAGGTCATGAAATCTATATGGTCCAAGGTTGTATTAGGCTGAACTGTGCCCAACCCTGCCAAAATTCTTATGTTAAGTGTATGACCTGTACTCAGGTTCAAATTAATTAACTACAGTGATTAGAATGAGGCCATTAGGGTGGCCAGGATCCAATCTGACTGTTGTACCCTTGTCAGAAGAGGTAATGGGGACACACACAGAGAACATCAGGAGTGCAGACACATGGAGAAAAGGCCCAGTGAGGACCCAGAAAGTAGACAGGTCTCCCTGCAAGCTAACGAGAAACCAACTTGCCAAGATCTTGATCTTGGACCACCAGTGCAAGGACATTTCTGCAGTTTAAACCATCCACTCTGTGGTGTCCTGTTCTGGCAGCTTCAGCATATTCATACGAACGTCATTTTTTGTTTATTTCCCTGTAAGTTTCAACAGCACATCTGCGTGTGACATGAAGAGCTTTAGCAGTCAATTAACACAATAAGAAAGACAGGCTGGACCAGATCCTGTTCCTACTGTTCTGAGCACATCATATGCAATGGCGGAGAGAAGGAGAAGGCAGGATCCCCTACCTAAGATACTGACAGACACTGTGACCCAAGTAAAAGCAATCTACATAAGCACAAGGGAAAACAAAACCATCCTAACTAGGGAGTGGGAAGAGAAGGGGTGACCTTCAGAGGGCTTCAATGGGGACCCTGTTAGAGGCAAAGAGAGGGGGAAGCTTCTATAGTGTCCAGGAGACTCAAGCAAAGATCAAGAGACACCAAGAAACCCAATGCCCAGTGCAGGTGGGAACCAGCAAGGCACCAGGTGTCAGTGTGGTATGGTCACACAGCGCCATACCACAGAACTGTGACACAGCAGGAACACCTAGAGACCAAGCAAGAGGGGATGGACTCTGGAAAATGATTACAGCAGAACAAAGGGCAACAGAGTGCAGACTGAGATTACAGAGCCCCTGTCCACTTTCAAAGGAACTCAGGACCTTCACTGTGGGCAAGCGAGTGCCAGGATGGTTCTCGGTTTACTTAGCCTGTGCGAGGGACAGTGGGAAGAAGGCTTTGGTGCATGTCTAGAGACTCGAGATCCTCCTTGGTTTTGGCGAAAGCCTTGAGCTCCTTCTCCTGTTTCAATGGCACCTTGAGACCCCTGCGGACCCATGCAGTTGGCAAGAAGCCCAAGGCGCTCCAGGTATTTCCCTTCCCCTCAACATTTTCTGATAATTTGGGTACTTTCCAGTACCTTGGTTGCCGCTTCCCCCTCCCTACCCCAGCCCATATCCATCTTGTGGTAAACTTGTGATAGTCTTGTAATAAACAACTCCAGGTTGCAGGTAAGTTACATAAGTGGTGGTGGGCTACACAATGACACCTGGCAAAGTATGTGGCAGTTGTACTGAATGGCTAGGCTTATAATATGTAATAGATGCTTACATTCAATATCAATATTATTGCTACGCTGAGGCTTGTTCCCGTGGACCATTCCTATAAAAAGTCTATGCTTGGTTATCAATAAATGGACAAGTTCATCATAACTGTCTCCAGAAAGTCTCTACTGACAATGCCATCACTGCATCACGTTATCTGAATGGGTGGTCATGGCCCCCTTCAACATCTCTTACCCTGTGACTTTTGACACGAAAGGGAGGTTGCCAGCTGCAATGATTTCCAAACCGAGATCCGGAGCCAATGACAGCTACAGAAGAGTGTCCCAACCCAGTGAGTCACAAAGGGAAATGCAGCTCAAAGCCTTGGGTTGCAGGCTCTAACTCCAAGATGCTTCTATCCCAGGGCCTTTTGTCAGAGCAGAAACCCAGCTATCCCTCCATTCTTTGCTCTTCCCAAACCCCCAGCTCATTCAACAGGCTTGTGGACCTCTCATCTGGGGACAGGAAAGCCAAAGGTTAAATACAGACAAAGCGAACAAGGTTATTCCTTGCTTCTCGGCATCCAAGAGCCTGAGCTGGTGATGTACAGGGAGACTCCAGGGCCTTTTGAGAGTTGTTATGACTTTAAGGAACCTTCATATAATACACCAAGTGTCGACTCCTTATCCCTGCCCAAAGGGAGCTGCCCCTAGCTTCTTACAATTGCCTCCTATCATACAGCTGATGCACTGGTCTCATGTCTCCTAACAGAAAACTGGCAAGGAAAGTAGTATCGTGGCTGCTATGTTGGGTAGATTCTAAGCAGCATTACTGGGACAATTTCCTGACTGAGAGGACAGACAATAGAAATACAGGAAAGGATCACACACACACCGTGCCAGTGCACACACATCAGATAATAGGCAATTTCCCAAGAATGTTTTCCAAGAAAGCACTGGAGTAAGCCCTCTTCTTCACCTGAGCCTACAGGCATCGTCTTCCAGTAGATGAAGACAGCCCTTAAAATATCAAACCTGAGCAGGGAACAATGGTAGATCAAAAGCACAGTGAGGAGATATAAAACGGGCTGGCAGGGATGACAGATGGGAACAATGAGAAATCATGCTTGCCTTTTTCATAACCAGGAACACTTAGCACGTCTCACATATTTCCTAGTTGAAGATAGGAATTAATCAGGTTTACTGGAAGACATGGGATTAGGATTGGAGGAGGGTTTTTTGGCTTCAGAGCTCAAAATCACCGTATGAGAGAAAACACAAGGGCAAGCTTGGGGGTTTTGGCATCGTGAACATTTTTAGAGAGAGAGAGCACAGAATAAGAGACAACTCTTTGTGTTGACTGCTGCATTGCTGCTATACTAACAGGCGCATGTGTACTCACGGTAGCAGTCCTGAGCCAAGTAGCATGGAAGGGCCAGCAACCTCAGGGGCTCTGAGAGCAGATGCAGCTCAATAAGATATCCACACCTCTCATGGCACTTATCCCCCACCGGATGTTCTAAACAGCAAGTAAAGCTTTCTTGTACCAAAATCTCAACAATGGAAATGCTGCCAGGGTGCGATACCTCAAGGTAATGCATTATCCTGCTAATAGGCAGGAGAGAGAGGAAAGCCTGAAGGTAGAGGCACGCGTTTGGTACAGTGTCTTCAGCAGCTAGCAGGACCAGGTCCAGCAACACCACATCCCCTCCTCCTGGCCTTCAGCTAGAACTTCAGCACAGAGCAGGCCAAGCTGCCTAAAGGGTACAAGGACAATGTTATATAACACCACTCTGATCCAGTCCCCTGAGACAGCTGACAGATGCACGACTCCATGGCTAATCTGGGCTTCCAAAAGAAACTTCTGTTGAAACAATGATTGGATGTGCCATTTTTGTATGACAGGGATCGAGTCAAAGTCCCACCAAGACATATGGCTAAACTTCACCTATCTGGGCCTGACACAGTAGCCTAGTGGCTAAAGTCCTGGCCTTGCATGCACCGGGATCTCATATGGGCATGGGTTTGTATCCTAGCTGCTCCACTTCCCTTCTAGTTCCCTACGTATAGCCTGGGAAAGCAGTAAAGCATGGCCCAAAGTCTTGGGACCCTGCACCCATGTGGGAGACCCAAAAGAGTCTCCTGGCTGCTGGCTTTGTGATCAGCTCAGCTCCAGCCATTGCAGCCACTTGGAGAGTGAACCAGCAGATAGAAGATCTTTTTCTATCTCCTTCTTTCTGTAAATGTGACTTTCAATTAAAATAAATTCTTTTTTTTTTTTTTATTGGAAAGGTGGATATACAGAGAGGAGAGACAGAGAGGAAGATCTTCCATCCGATGATTCACTCCCCAAGCGAGCACAACGGCCGATGCTATGCCAATCCGAAGCCAGGAGCCTCTTCCGGGTCTCCCACGCGGGTGCAGGGTCCCAAAGCTTTGGGCCGTCCTCCACTGCTTTCCCGGGCCACAGGCAGGGAGCTGGAAGGGAAGCAGGGCTGCTGGGATAGAACCAGCGCCCATATGGGATCCTGGGCGTGCAAGGCGAGGACCTTAACCACTGCGCCACCATGCCGGGCCCAATTAAGTCTTTTTAAAAAAAACTCATTTATCTGCTCACCCACATTAGAAGGAGATTTTAATTCTTTGGGGAAAGCTTTATCTCAACAGACCTTAAAGATCAACCTCAAATGCAGCTGCCTCTGAACTGTCTTCTTTCAGGCATAAAGCAGACATCAGCAAAGCACACAATTCAAACCTGAAATTCAACCTGCTACGGCTGATCCATAGATAGGAGTTTGCTACCAAAGTAAGAGACATGTATGTTGAAGCACTGGTATGAGAAACAAAGGCCATTCCTGACATCATTCCCTGGGAGGTTTGATGGACAGGCCTTCACAGCCCAGCCCTGCGATGCAAGGGAGAAAAATGCAATAGGAGACTACCAGTTCAGTGATGGCTAAAACTTAGCCAGGCCATCCATGCAAGTATATAATTTTTCCATCAAATGTACCTTTTTTTTTTATTGACTTAAAAAAAAAGCAGAAAGACAAAATGAATGACCTTGAATTTGAAACAGCGTTGAAAGATGTGCCAAGCCCAACTAGAAAAACCTCAATGAATGAAAGTACTCGTCTCCAATGTTAGCACACCCCATGTCTGTCACAACACTCAGCTGTGATGCCCACTAACCTCCCTTCCCACTTCTCCAGAAGCGAATCAGAATCCCCACCCACACAACTCACCAGTCCATGTCACTGATCTTGCCTTAAAACACACACACTCGCCCACCTTTTAAGCAAGCATAGAAAGGCTAAGACACCTTTCAGAAAGGCCTTACTTTCAAAATATTTTGAGTTTCGTTCCATTTGTTTGTCCACTCCTTGGTCAACTCTTGAACCTACAAAAAAAAAAAAAAAAAAAAGCAAAAACACATCTGTGATTGCTCCACAAAAATAAATAAATAAATAGATAAATAAATAAGATATTCTTTTGGCAAAGTTCTAAATTCCTAAAGCTTATGAAAGAATGCACTAATTTTTTAAGTGGATTCCAATCTATACCCCTGAAAATTCCATCATGAAGTATGAAACATCTGATTTTCTCTTACAAATGGTATTATGGCAAAAAAACAAAAAACAAAAAACAGAAATCTGTTAAAGCTGCCTAGAATCTCACAACAGTCTTTTCATGGAGGCACTTGAAATAAAGCTGCCTTCTTGGATTATTAACCAAAATCACAAGTTCAAAATGACAACAGTCTATTAAATGGGTCAGATTTCCTGACTAGCTTCAGGTCCTAAGAAACCATGATTTACTTTCCTTTCTAATTAGATGTGGTGATGAAATCACCTTGGATGCTCCAGTTTTCTTTTAGGAGAGAGTCTGTTTTTGTAGCTAATTAGTAGGGTTCATAAATCTCATTCTATCTTTTTTTAAAAGGGCAGAACTTTAATTGACTCTTTCAGTAAGAGCAAAAATGTTTTGATAAGAATCAGCTTCTTCCAATCACCCATAACTTAGAGAAGGAAACATCCCCAATTGTTCAACTCAATATCGTTGGAAATTAGTTCTCAAAGGTAACAGAAATATTCTTCTAGCTACTTAAAATGATGATCCTAGACAAAAAGCCATTGAAAAGCAAAAAGTGATACCTGAATTGAGAGGCAGGAAAAAAAAATAGAAATGAAAATTACATCCTATGGAAAGGAAAACACCTAGGGCTAAAAGGATGGCAACCTGAGTGAGCAGAGCATGCATCCTTTCACAGTCTTTTCCTTGCAGTGTTATCACTCCAGCTGCAGCCTCACCTCCCTCACCACCACCCATAGCTGTCATCTTCCACTTATACCACTCTTCTTCCCATAAGTAAGTCACACTCTTTCACAAGGCCAACAAAGAATGCCTGGGGCACATTTGCTTGCACGCCCATGCTAAGAGGAAGCCACTGGCATGAAGTGTAATGAAGGGAAAGGGCTCTGGTGCCAGCACACTTGATGAAGGGAGACAGCTAATGACCTCAGTGGAGACACTGGAGAGATGGGTCATCCGAGGAAAGCCAACCATGCCTACCTGTCCACAGTCAGCTCCTCAGAGCCTTCAGTTCACTGCCAGTTGGCTTCAGGCAAGAAAGAGTGGGGTTCTAAATCAATACTATTTTTAAAAATGTCTTCTTTTACTGTTATTAGTGTCAAATCTACCACCCTCTTAGTGAAAAAAAAAAAAAAAAACAAAAAACAAGAGAAATTGGACTAAAAGAGCCTTTCTGTCTTTTATGGTGTTTTAACATTGTCCTGATGTATCTGAAACTCCAACCCCACAGACTTAAATAATGGCAGTAACAGTCCCATGGCTATCTGTACTTTGGTTTTCAAAGAACTTTTAAAATGAAAGCATTCTTTTGTCTTCCTTTCCTACAAAAGAGTAAACTCTGGCATACTGAATTTCCCCACTTGTACTACGCAGTCATGATTACCAATTTATCTGAGAACACAAAACATTCAACAGTGAACAACTGTGCAGTATACCAAGAGATATGTTCTCCCTGAAGACCTGGGAGCCAATCAATCTTTGTGAAATTCCATCACATTGCCCAAGGATTAAATATGCATGCCTTGTATGCATGACTTGGGTTTACTTCTATTTATTAGAGCTACATCTTGGATTTTATATTCACTTATAAATCCAAAGCATGTCTACAAATACATAAATGTGCCTCAAATTTATTATACCATTGTATTTGAATCCCATTCATTTAAAGCATTAACGGAGAATACAAACATGAGACAATATGATCAGGTAATAATATTTATGGCCAAGTGGATGCCAACAATTTCAAAAATTCAGTGAAAAACCAGAAGGAAACATAGAAAATGTGATGAACAAGATCAGCAGCCATTTCTGCCCCAGCATGTACAATGCATTCAAATTAAAATGTTTATTAGTTTCTATTAACTTGGTAGGTATTCATGAAAACTATTACAAGAAACAATTTAAGACCATATCCAGACATTTCACAGCACTCAAAATTAGAATTTGAAGCACTAAAATACAAAATTTCATGATGAAAATAGAGATGAAGAAACTAATGCTTCTCCTAATGCTTTTATCAGTATATTAATCAGCCTAATTATCTGGAGAAGTGTCAACAGGTCCATAACTACAACCCAATTTATATCTGCATATTGTGTATTCTTGAAAGAGCTTTTACCAACAGAATCCAATTTTCTTTTTCAATCTCTTTTAACTGTTCAGCACCATGAACAAAATCCACTCCAAAAACTATTTTGCTTTCTTTTTTAAAAAATGAAACACTAGTAGAGAACCAGGTCAGCAGTGGCATGGCTTTCGCACAGCACCAACGTAGCCACTGACCTCGGTCCATCACAGCTTAGAGCCATTCCCTGCCACTTGTCCCTGCCTCAACTCATATCCAGCTTCAGCAAAATTCAGCGTCCATCTAGAATACCCAGAGGTCCTCCCCCCAAGTGCTGGACATCTCCCCAGAAATACAGAGATGACTAACAGCTAAGCTGTGGTGGCTGTTAAGCTTGGGCAATCACAGCTGTTTCACAAATGCTGAACTTGGCCCCACTCAACATGAACTCCTGGATGCCCTGACGGCCCCAGCAGCCTCACTGCTTTGTCAAGACAGCCTGCCTGTGAATTCAATCACAGTGAACATCATGGACCAGCCAAATCCCATCTGCTAACTCACTACGAGAAACCTTCGAGAAGTTCTTTGGAAATGTGTACTGTGGAAAAAACTATGCACTGATTGCAAAAAAAAAATTGGACACCAAATTTTCTATGTACTTGTAGGGTATACCTTCTACACACACACACAAAACTCAAGTGTTGTATTTCTTTAAAAAAACCATCACAGGAAGGGGAATAAGGAGGTTAAATGTAATGAAGAAAACGAATGTCAAGTGGTGGGTAACAAAAAACAAGTAGTTTAAAAAAATAAATGGTAAAAGCTACGGCCATAAAAAGCAACAGTTCAAAGCACCACTTACTCTTGCTTCATTCTGCTGAAGTTTTTCCTCCATACTTAGAGCTGTGGGGGAGTCCAGCAGAGCAATCTAGAATTCAAGTCATAACAGAGATCAGCAATTAGCAAACAACAACAATCTAGAGCTAAAATTGTTTCCCTAAATAAACCCCCAGAAATTTCCATAAAAACCTTTAGAAAAGTAATGCCCCACATCCCCGCAGAAAGCATCACTTATCACAGGGGTTTATGAGACTCCTAGAATATTCATCCTGGTAAACCTACATTTGCAACGCTAATCAGCAATGTGAGGACTCTTTTTTTACCCAAATCAAACAATCTAAATCCCTAGCTCTTAAGAACCCATCCCACTGAGCATGTGTTCAGAACACAAGTCCAAGGCAACATGCCTATGTCCTCACCAAGCCCAGATTGGTTGAGGTCCACCAACACTAAAACACAGAAGCTCATTTCACTGCAACTGGCACTGCAGGTCTGAGCATCTCCTCCTCCATGGAGGAACGTGACAGGAGGATGGTTAGCATGAAAAGCGTTCAGCAATGGGACGGACAAGCACCCCGGATGGAGGGCAACCCGAGTGAGGGGGGTGCGAGCACACAGCAGCCTCAGCCCTGGCCTATGGGACACAGCACTCCCTACCCTGTCTGACTTTTCTCACTGCCTGCAGTGGTCTTGAGAAGACAGTGGCAGGGAGGCTGCCCCCACTCCATCCACACAATGATTAGTCTTTTCCAGTGGACCACAAAAACCTGGAGTAACTTCGGTCACAAGCAAGCATGGCTGCATGGTTTTAAGTTCAGTTTACATACTGAAAATTGCCTTGTTCACTCAACAATACAACTTCTAAAAAATTCAGTAGGGCCTGGCGCAGTGGCCTAGCAGCTAAAGTCCTCGCCTTGAATACAACAGGATCCCATAGGGGCACCACTTCTAATCCCGGTAACCCCACTTCCCATCCAACTCCCTGCTTGTGGCCTGCGTGGGAGACCCAGAGGGAGCTCTTTTAAAAAAGTTTCAGTAAAAATAATTCTGCTTCAGTCTTCATCATTTTGGTTCCACTGTACAGTATTTCATTGTATATATTCTGTCATTTATGTTAGCACTCCCCAATAAATATAAACCTAACATTTTTCCCTAATCTTTTTCTTTACCAGCAATCCTATAGTGACCATCCGGCTACAGGATACCAGATTGTATCACTAGAATACAGAAGGGGAACTAACAAGGCATATACATGTAGTTGGGTTTTTGGGTTTTTATTATTATCATTATTATTACTAACTAGTCCTCTATAGAGGCTGCAAATGTTTTCTCATTAGTATTTATTTTTCAATTTCTATTTGAACTTAAAACACCCAAAAAGGGCTCTGTTTTTGCTCGGCTAAATAACTCCCCTTCCCACACACGGGAAGCATTGCCTCGCAAGGCGGAACATACATGCAGATATTTTTAAGCACGATGAACAATTCCTGCTGTCCGCCATCTTGTGGGGAAGAACTGTCATGTGTATTTCAGGATACAACAAATTCAGGGAGGGTTTGTCCCCTGGCAGCAATTTCATAGATCAAACCATTTAAGGGATGTCAAGTGTTTCAAGTGTCTTCTACTCCCACATAGCAGACACTCCTCTGGAGATAGCACTTGCATGTTTAAAAAGAGAAGAAGCATTTCTTTTCATGACCCACTTGAGACATCCATTCTCCGGTTAAGAGAATGGGAAGAAACGTACTTGTATCTGTATTGTATTTCTGCCTCCAGTCTAACTTCAGCCTTTTAAAAAGTGATTCTTGATCCTCCTTCAAGGGTGGCCTTTCTTCACAGCGGGATCTAAGCCTTCTGGAACTTAACACGCTCCATTCATCCACAGAACATAACTGCACATACACTATGCACACTCTAAAGAAGTTTACTGTGAAAACACAAAAGAGCAAAGCCTCTTCACTACAATCCCGACAGCTCCTGAAGTGAGGCCGTATCAAACAATTAAGCAAGGGCCCCCTGACAGGATCTCGGCTGGGCCACAAGCATAAGGCTCCCATGTCACTGGGTCACCCCGGTCACCTCTGTGATGAGCAACAGGAAACAGATTCAGAAAGGTGTTCAAACAAGTCTTTTGGTTAAAATACATTTTCAAGTTGTAAAATGCATGCGTAGAATTTTAACTATTGCTCTAAGCATCTCAATTTCTTTCCACTCATAGAGATTAGGCCACTAATCCTATTGCATGCTAAATTTCCATCCATAATTGATAACTATTAGATAGTTCATCATTTCAGGTTGAGTGGATAGAATCTTATACACACAGCACATAATGAATGCCAAGGCCAATAGGAGGCTGATGCAGGGGAGAAACCGGCTAACTCATTCAAAGCTTTACTTAGCACTTATTTACTCAAATCAATAGTAGGAGTGAGATAATTGTCTCATTAAGATCCAAAAATAGATGCCATTACTCAAAAGAAAATCATCCATAAATCTCAGAAGAAGCCAACCTGATTCCCTTGAGCAAGCAGCATTTTCAGCCTGGCGATTTCAGCTCGCAGTTCACGGATGAGCTTGACGTTGGCGTCCTCATTAATGGTAGGCTTGTTGATGATGTTTTTGGCTCTATTTGCATAGCGAAGAGTACTCAGGGTTTCTCCGTAATTGACATCAGCAGGTGAAATGGCTGTGAAGAATGAATTCAAAAAATAATTTATCCAGCACTCCATGTTTCATTTAACACAAAGTTGGTGTGTAATTTAAAAGTCAGATTAACCCCAGGTCATTGGCTAGACTAAATATTCATTGCCACTGTAATGAATATTAAAAATTATCTCAGGTTCATAAGAAGGGGTGCTCATGAAATCAAATGAAATGTCATTTTGCTCTTCTGAAGTCTACAATCAACCACCTGAGATGTCTCACTATAGGTAGTCTTCTCAGATGAAAACATAAGGATCAGATTTCAAGACTACATATTTCAAAATTAAGTACAATTAAACTCTTTTAGAAGTTATGCCAAAGCTTCACAGCTATAAAAACCTAAATCAGATCAGGCAATTCTTTCCTGCTTCAAGCTTCGGTGGCGCTCACCCATTCCACCCCAGCCTTGAATGTTTGCGTGTACACCACTATTCATGCAGTATGCACCCCAAGGTGCCTGGAGTCACAGGTGTTGTCAGGACTGGAAAGAACATGGCAGCAGGGAATGCGAAGAGCCACAGGCACAAGGGGCGGGAAACAGAGTGAGGCAGGCAACAATTCTTGAGCTTGCCTCAGTAATTCTCTCCCTTTTCCATATTTTTCTTTCCCTTTTATGCTTCACTCGATGAATTCGTTAAAATACAGAAAAATACATTATCATTTGCACTGTCATATATATTGTTTTCCTTTTAATTTTTTTTTTTTATTTTAAATTCTAAGTTTATTGCTTTTAAAAGAAAAACAAAGTTGGGTTCTTTGTATTTAATGCTGCTCTAATGCTTTTTGTTCCTAAGGGAGTGACATTAAATTTCTATCTTGTACTTCAAGCAAAGAGAAACTGGGAGTCTCCCCACTGGTGATCACAGGTTCTGTAACACCGTGAGGCCCTGTGCAGCCAATCATATTGTACTGTATTATTAAATCACGTAACAAAAGGTGTCATATACTAACGAGACACTTCAAACCGAAGCATTTCCAGTCAGTTTGCAGGGCCCATTGGATGGTCAGGCAAAACACTGTAAAGCTCTTACTGGCAATCATGATGGTTTTAGAGTTTCCTCCGAGGCTATCTTTCAGCAACCAAGTCAAAACAGAATCCCTGTAAGGCACGAAGACTTGCTTCTTTTTCACAAGAGAGTTTGCTGCATCCTGAGATAGATCAGCTGTTAAGAAGGAAAAGCAAAACAGGGAAAGACAGCGTGGCTGTTAATGCTTGCTTTTCTTTGATTTCACTTCCAAATATTTTGAGGAAATGGCCTCAGATTGGAACAAAAACATTAAACACAACTGCTTCGTGCTGCTGCAGAAGCACGAGGGGACGGAGGCGGCAAGGGACGCGGGTAAACCCACCTAAGGCAGAAATGACATTCCCCAGAGTCACGAGGGACTTGTTGATGTTTCCCCCTTCCTTCAGCCTAACCCCGGTGGCCCCAGTAGCATCCGCGCGCTCACTTCCAGCCAGGTCGACTAAGTGGATCTTGCTCACTGTTTCACACGGCATTTCAGAGTCAAATTTTGCCTGTGGTAAAAACAGCAAAGTAAAACTGAGGAGGTGTGCCCAGTGCCCTGATGCTGTTTATGATACAAATTCTAATTACCTCCCACTCCTCACTGAGCTCTCATAGGGTGAGAGCTCCCCCCCACCACCATACTTGTATTTATTGGCCTTCAAACCAGCTGCAGAATTCTCCCAAGTTAAATTCAACACAAAAGTAATCTACCACATATGATGCTTCTCGTATCATTCTCGACCAAGGCCTCCTGAAGAACAATGCCAGGGAATGGGAAACTAGCCGTGGAGGGCCACCCCACAAAGAAAATAGAAACAAACAAATCATGAGTTCTCTTCACCTCTAAACTCCAGCAGTCCAAGCGCCAGGCCACTCCAAGATGCAATAAATGCAGACCGGTGGAAGATCACTGAGTAACATTTTGTGATGCCAATCATGCTTTTTTTTTTTAAGATTTATTTTTATTGTAAAGTCAGATATACAGAGAGGAGGAGAAACAGAGAGGAAGATCTACTGTCCGATGCTTCACTCCCTAAGCGGCCTCAATGGCTGGAGCTGAGCCAATCCAAAGCCAGGAGCCAGGAGCTCTTTCGGGTTTCCCACATGGGTGTAGGGTCCCAAGGCATGGGCCATCCTTGATTGCTTTCCCAGGCCACAAGCAGGGAACTGGAAGGGAAATGGAGCTGTCGAGTTTAGAACCGGCACCCATATGGGATCCTGGGCATGCAAGGTGAGGACTTTAACCACTGCGCTATCGTGGTTTTAATAAGAGGCCTAGAAAACCACATTCTCTGCATTCAGAGTCCCCCAAAACTTTATCTTCCTAGTGAGTTGCAAAGCATATTTGTATTGCTGGACCAAAAGACAAATAAGACAAAACAACCAATTTCTGAAAGAGAGATAAGCTTCTTCCAAACTAGTGCGGGTTCCATCCTAACCAAGCATTAAGCAGAACACAAAACAGCCAGTCAATAACAATCAGCCACATACACAGCAAGGAGGTGGGCAAGTGCAGGAGCTGCTCTGAATGCTCTTAAACAAATACGTTTGTTTTGTTTTGTTGTTCTCTTCCTCTGTGTGAGGTGTTCGACTGTGAACACAGGTGAAGACACCCCAAATCTTGCACAAACATATGCACAAGTCCTGGGAGGAACCCACAGTTTCACATTTCCCAATTTCTACTGGGCTTGCAGTGAAAACATTTACTCTCAGTAATTTCTATGCATATTCAAGATGGTCTCCATCACTTGATCATAATGAATTCCTATGTTCGTACTTATAAATGTCCCTTGTCCTATGATATTATTCTAATAATGATAATCAACGCTGCGGGCTGAGCTCCGTGGGGGGATAATGGACCACGCTGAGTTATTCACCTTGGCCTCCAGCTGGTCACACTCGCAATCCATTATCTCCTGCAGAGCTTGCCACAGTGAAAACTTTGGTCTAATTAGGCACGGAGCAAATTTTTTCTTATGTCTAGAACAGGGCAGATGTGTGCTAAATATTTCTTAGGGGTACACATCAGGATGTTTCAAATGACTGTGATTGTAACCATGGAGAAACCCAGCACACAGCACAGGTTCAACTCTAATTAATAACAAAATGACAGTAGGTCACCTTGGCCTGCTGCCGCTCCTGGTTCAACAATGGTCAGTCCTCAGCTGGTGCTAATCAACAAGTTACAACCTCCGGGGTGCTGCTGGCCCCACCCCGCCCCGCCCCAACAACTGCCTTACCTGAGTGAACTTGATTGTGAAAATGGCATGAGACCTGCTACTGACATCATTCATGCCAGTCGCAGCCGTGGTGCGATTGATGTTTCCTGCCTCCATAAGTTCTTCCACATCACTGTAATTCTGTACCAGATGTTTGGATAAATCTGGCAAAAGAAACAAACAAAAAAAAAACATAGGAAGTGAATTCTCCCTAATACATGGTCAATGGAGTGAAGCGTTTCCTCTCCACAGAACCTGCTGTCTTATAAAAACCTTGTTTCTGGGGTGTGGTGCTACAGAGCTTAGTCTTGAGAGCAGAACTGTTGGAATGGAATCAAAACCCAGTTCCGATGCTTCCTAGCTGTTGAAGCCTCCCTGTGTTCCGCTACCTCCCACCCTGGTCACCTCACCTAATCACGTCTACCTGTCACCTACAGTACTGGGCATGCGTGTTATGATTAAGATCAAGCTCATCTGTATCAGTCACAACATACAGAAGAAAAATGAAAAAGCATTGCCTTCATGCAAAATCCAAAAATCACTGTGTGAATCCTGTATACAAAGTATTATTCTTTTATTATCATTTGAACATTCATATGGTTCCAAAGTCAAAAGCTATACTGTGTAAAGGGCCCCCTGTCATCATTTATGGAGGACAACTAAATAACAGTTTCCCCATTTCTTTCTAGAAACAACCTATACAAGCACAGGTAATTATATGTATATAAAACATGCTTCTTTTTCCTTTTGCAGAAACAGTAGCATATCATAAACATTATGGTACACCTTGCCTTCTTATGTAATGTCAGACTGAAAATATTTTGTATTCCTTAATGTGGTTTCTCATTTATTTTTAAGCCCACAGGGCATTCGATTCTATGTCTGCACCATAATCAATTTAACCAGTCTCCTATTGAGACTGTAGAAGTTGTTTACATTTTGTTTCCAATTACAAGTAATGCTGCTGCAAATAATCTTAGACATATGTGTTTCCAAATGTCTACCAATGGTTCTGCTGAAGAAATTCTGACAGATGGAACTGCTAAATCCAAAGTCATTCAAAATCTTGATACATGTTACAGAACTGTCCTCCACAGACGCAGCACACCACAGAGGACAACTTGTACTCAGAGTCACACTCCAGAGTGCCTATCTGGAGAGTAAGCATTTGGCCATTGAGAAAGCGGTTGACAGGCCCTCGCTCTCTGCCAGGGTGCCATCTCCAGCTCCTGACATCCATCCCCAGATCCCTGTAGGCTGCAGTGATGGCATCCCCCACCCATGTGGAAGACAGACTATGTTCGTACCTCCCAGCTTCAGCCCTGGGCTGTTGGGGGCATGTGGAGATTGATGGGTGAATGGGACCTCTCCCTTGCAAATAAAAAAATTTAAACAAAAGAATGTTTCTCTCCTAGCACATGCCCCACCATCTACACAGAGGCACACCTCTGCCTGATTCCAGCAGGCCAGCTGTCACTCAGCCTCCTTTGGCCCAGGGACTTAGCTTCCTTACACGGGTGGCCTGGTGGCATCCTCACCACTGACTGGGACATTGCTGGTGTGGCCCCGCACAGATACTGACAGCCACACCCAGGAGTCTTAGTCTTCTCTTTCCTGCTGGTATCATCACAGAGACTGGAGACAACACAAGGCTAAGGAACAACACCACTAAAAGGCACAGCTGATTGGCTCACTCCATGGGACTGAGAGAATGGGAGACCATGGAATCGCTTACAGGCAGCCTCAGGGACACAGGAACCTGGCAGGTAACGGCTGCTGCCACTTCCAATGGAATAAAGTTCTGAAAGCAAACACACTTTTCCAATCTCACCATTTCTGCCTTGGAGAGTGTTGCTGTTAACCCCAGTTCTCAGAGAGAATGGGGGCTGGGGACCATCCTGTCTTACCTTCAACATAAGGGCCTTCTTTGGGATGCTCCCGGACTCTTAAATTGAAGGTTTTAGATGACTTCCGCCTAAGCAGATCTCTCACCCGTTCATTGTAAATTTCCAAATAGCTGCAAGTGTGAAATTGGATTAAATTCAGAAATGCCAGTCCAAACAATAGTCATACTCACAATGGCTGCAACACATATTTGTGTGTCTGGGTGGGGAGGGGCTCAGTTTGTATATGTGCTAGAAACTTGCCTTGGACTGTTGGCACAACTACCCAGAGGAGGGGCATCACTGTTATCCTCATCTTGCAGATGAGCAAACATGTTCAGAGTGATGGAAATAACGTGTGCGAGGACACACAGCCACCACCAAAAGGCCATGTGGCTGTGAGACCTGGACTGACCTGTCCTACCCTCACAACCACTCAGCAGGACAAGCTAGCCCCTCCAGGTTACACTTCCAAGGGGAAAAGGCATGGCAGCCATTCAGACTTACTTCTGTGCTAGACTGATAGTGTGTCTACCAACATAAAGAATAACATGAAGGAAGAGCCCGGAGTGAGTATTTGAGATACATGCTTCAGTGTGTGACCAGCGGTGCTTTCTCCACCAGCCTCCCAAACCCTGACCCAAGAAATCCACTGGAACCTTTTAAGCTTTATCCCCACCTGCCATGGAATGGGCACGAGTGGGCAGGAATCTAAGGTCCTTATCCACAGCTGCTTTCAAGAGCAAGCCAAGCAGCCAGGGCTCCAACCAAGATCACACCCAGGAAGCCAGGCCATGGGCCCCACCTGACTTCCGTTCGGAATGATGCTTCATCCCATCGGGTGGTTTCATTTATCCGACTGAAGAGGCCCTCACAGATGCGAGGTATTAAGCCAGAGTCACCCTACAATGAGAAGGAGAAAATTTCGCTTTAAGAGAGGAGCCTTTTCCCCAGAGGCACTGTCAGAAAATAAGAAAGAAGCAATGATAAAAGGAAATTGTCAAACTTTCGATTATCTGTTCCTTCATTTGTGTGTCCTCCCCCTTTCCCCGGCTAGCTTCACAATATCAAGGATTCCCAGGAAAGCATTCATAGACTTGTCACGGCAAGGAAAACCTGAGTTTAGGAAAACCGGTCATATGTACCATACAATGGGGAAGACCATGTTCCCCTAACCACCAACCCTTGGCATGGACCACTGTGTGCATCGCAGGAAGCTCTCCCTCCCCCACTCACTCTCCCACCTCTAGAACATGCTATAGGTTTGGAAACTAAAACACACATTCACGGTGTGAACCTAAAGAAAGACACAACAACAGCAAGTGCCCACAAGAACTTTTTCTTTTAACACCTTCATACTTGGGGCAATAAAGACATTAATGTCTGCTAGTGGTTTGGCTACTAAAGTGTTATGTAGTGTGTCTATAACTCTACAAGCACCAGATAGTTTATAAAACCAACTTTTCCACGCATCAGCTGGACTGACGGTTAGCACCTTTCCATCAACAAGTTGCCTTATTTTTCTACACTTTTCTTGGAGAAGAAATGTTTTGAAGAGTTTTTAAGAGAGGAGACTTTAATAATTTTATTCAAACCGTTGTGTTGGCAGGGAAGGAGAATAAATTACTTGTGGGGCCAACGTATTTTTCTGATAAGATTATAAGGCCTTTAAGAAGAGAAAAATGAACTGGGACTCGCATCCATTATTCATGCTTATAAACTTAACACTATTTCTAATTTAAAATTTCTCAAAGGAAATCTAGCTCAACTTATTACTGAGTTTTATCTTGTTACTAAAAAATGATCAGAACATGAAAAGCAAGTTTAGTAGGGACCAGGCAGATAAAAGAGATAATTCTAGCAGAACAGAACACAATAATAAGAAATTTCCTCTCCCCGAGACATAAACAACGTACAGAGCTCCCCATCATGGTGTAGGACTTCCCAGATCCAGTCTGCCCATATGCAAAGACACAAGCATTGTAACCTTCAAATGCGGATTTCACAACATCTGTGCCCAGGGTTTTGAAGACCTGAAAGAAAGAAAAAAAAAAAAGGCACAAAAAAGAAAATGCTAGGGGTTTTAATAAAAACTGCTATAGTGTTGATAATATTTTTGAATGCTACCTTTATCCCTTAGGGATTATATTATTTAAATAAATCATGGCACAGCAGTTACCAATAGAATATGTATGAACCCAAATTTTTTTAATCAAAAGTAAACTTTTTAAATGAGCAAAAAATGATGCCTCCCTCTTTCCAGCTTAACAACAAAAACTTTCTGAAAATTATAGAATGACATTACTTTCCAAAGTTATTCAAAATCTCCAGGACCCAGTCAAAATCTGCAGGTTACAGCAGTCAGAAATGATTGCCCCAGCTACACTAAATCCGAGCTGTTATTTTAAGTGTCCAGCTAGCCATTCACATGGGTCTCCAAGGCTGAGTGGCAGGTGGGTGTGGACAAGGCTGGGTGAGATGGCAGCCCCCTGTGCTGGTGTCCAGATGCTCTTAGCTCAGGGTGGGGTGGGCAGGACAGGAACTGTGTGGAGCCAGAGTTCACACCTATAATGGCCTGAGTCCACACTCTGCCTCAAAGGACAACCTGTGGAGTGAACGGCGAAAAGGGCAAATACTACAGGTGGACAGGCCGTGTAAATGAGACACATCCGGATGTGAGATCAGCCTAGTGATACCCAGCTGTCAAGGATGACCCAAAGCTTTCTTGTTGCTTCCTGTCCTTTTGGCCCAGCACATCAGACATCTCTCTGCTTCAAAAAGCTGGCACCTTAGCACCAGAGAGGCATCAGAGTGGGAAGCTTGATTGGGTTCTTAGCCAGAGCCATGGAGAAGTGGGAGTTCCTCCAAGGCCAGGGTCTCACCAAACTCCAAAGGGGTGTTTACTCTATGAGGGAGTGTTCTCTGGGTCAGTACATGAGACCCAGACAACTGGACCACAAATCTGTCACCAACCACTATCAAACTACCAAAAAAAGCTACAGCCAGGTGTTGGACAAGTCCCACTGGCCAAACTGGTAACCTGACTCATGTAAAGATGAGTCCAGGCAGGGTTTTGAGAATGGGAGTAACAGGCACCGATGGCCTTTGGTGTCACCAAGAAATCTAAGCTTTCATGTCCAGTTGGTCTCAGACTCAGCAGCATCTCCGATCTCAGGGCCCAGAGCCCAAGGGCTCATGTCCTGGCCTGAGCACACAGTGCCTGTTGTGCCACCTCCTATGCTCACTCCTGTGCAAGGAAGAGAACCAAGCCGAGTGCACACATTGAATCAACCTATTCCTGTGAACCAGCCAGGTGCCATTTCAAAACACAAAAAGCCCAGTGAGTTTCAATTACTCCAGCTTGTGAGATGGCCCATTAGAGGAGACAGGGAGAGATTTATGAACCCAGAAAAAGCCCCTAATCAGCAAGATGAGACGTATCTACATCCACCAGCAACCATTAAAAATAAGTAGTGAACCTCTCTGAGGGGAGGATGAAATAGAATAGGCAGGTAATTAGCTTACAGTCAGGACTTAGAAGTCATACCTTCGTGGCCTTATGTAATACTGTCTGCCTACCTACCAATCAAATGACCCTTTCCCCAGGATGGCCCCCCTCAAAGACTTGGGAATGGTTTCACACAACCACTCCCCGATCCAGGCACATAAGGAATCAGACAACAGGGGACGGGTGCTCTGACTTCCCACAGACAGATCAAAGTAGGAACATCTCTCTCTCACCTTTTCCCCCCACCAACTCTGTCTTTGAATATGGCTCATATAGGTGTGTGCTTTCCTCAGCTTTAAAATAAACTTCATTAAAACAAGCAAACAAAAAACCGCCACAGGGTCAGCAGCGGTGTCAAGAGGTACGGAATTAGCTGGGCTGCCCGACAGCGAGGGCCTGACAGAATGAGAAAGAGGAGGGTTTCTTTAAAACTGTCCAAGGTATTTGTTTCTCCCTGAAAGCAGGGTTTGCTGAGATCAAGGTGATGATCCCACAGGAGTTTTTAGTTTCCAGTTTAATCACCGGAACAGCGAGGACGTAGTGGAATCTTTGGAAGAGGGTGCAAAATGCCTGTCTCTTCCCCAACAGCTGCCTTTGCCCAGATCCCCCCAATTCCCAACCCTTTGGGTTTCCAGTTTCATTATGAGAAAGCAAGGAGAGCAGCTTTCAGCTTATCCTGAGAAGTTACAAATCACACACTGCTGATCGTTCTTGGTTAGGAAGCTACACAAGATTGCAGGTCCTCTCCCCCAAATTATGAACTAGCTTTTCAAGTTTTTCTCTCTTAAGAGCCCTCCTCTTGACCAGTGAAGCAGCACGTTTTTGACCTAATAAATCTTGCTTTGCTCTCTGATCTGTCTGAATAGAAATTCTTCTTCCATGTGAGACAAGAACTGAGACAGTCATTTCTATAATTTCACTAGATGGGAAAAAAGTGCTTCATTAATTTCTCAAAACTAAAGGAAAGATTTTTTTTTTCTCTCTCCTAGTCTGGCCTGGGGCCTAAAAAGAGTTCTGGGAAATATCATTTCTAAGCCTAACCCAAAGGTTTCCTGGATGAAATTCTCCCCTAGGATTAAAAGTCACACCCGTCATTTACTTTATCACTTTATTTCCAGAAAACTCACCCAGGTGATTTTCTACAAATGGAAGGGTTTCAGGGAGTTGGCAAAACAAGGCCCCAAAAGTGTAGTGCATGGTCAGAGAGAGACCAGACCTGCCCAGTTTCATCACTACCCACAGCCATGGGGTTCCTGACAAGGACAACAGGCTATCCTATCCTAGCTCTTGCCAAGCATTTACAGGACGTCGGCCACCACACCAAGATGGGAGGAAGAGGCCTGAGCTAAGAGGCTGACAGCTTGCTGACACGAAAACCCAGCCAGGTTCTCCTCACACCTGGCCACAGCTCCCCACACCCACCTTGCCCTTTGTGGGAGCTTGGGCTTCAAAGCTGATTTCCAAGAAAATCCAGGGTAGCAGCAGGCTTTTGGGGACGTGCCCACTAGAGGGCACTGCTAAAGCAGGGCTTCTCCCATGCAGCTGGGAGATTTAGGTCTCAAATTTCACCAGCTCCGCCTGTGATCAAAGTCCCCCTTTGGAGTTTTGAAGATTCCATTAAGAAAATTAGAGTTTGTGTAATGGTCTTTAATTCATATTGCAGTGAGTTAAATTGCCACTGATTTTTTTTTTTCTAACTTTAGTTTGGCAACAAGAAATAGTAATAACGGTCACTTTACCTGGTATTTATTAAGACATCAAGGGAAGCTTGTCTTGAGCTACAGTAATAGGAATAATAGCCCAACATGCCTTTACACTCTGATGATTGTTTCTATATCATGTGGGCCAATATCATACCACACTCATCCTCGCCCCTGTTTACAGCAGGGAGACAACCCCACAGCCCCTTTCCTATGCCTGCAATGGCAGCACGAGCCAACATTCAGAATTAAAACATTCAGATGAGGGACGGAGGGATTCCCTTTAACAGATACTTTCCTGTATTTATGCTGAGTTTATTAACACAAGGTTCTACAAACAGAAGAGCTTATTAACATATCTTAAGGCTCTGCTGACTCTGAAATTGAATGGAGGTTATTTATTTATACACAATGGAAGAAACTAAACATTAAAGTGGTCCTTGTCAGTGTAAAGCTTTTCACCATTTAAAGCTGCTTTTCAACTCTGGGCATTTTTAACTTCCCAGAGAGCTAATTTTACTGCTGTCTCCCTGACCATGAGTCTCAGGAACTCAGAAAATGTCACCCGATCTTATAAGACAACTATCACCCGTCAGTGAGCAAACATTTACCATGCCAGGCCCTGTGGTTACACAGCACTCTAAAGCCTGAAATTCAGGTTAAATATGAGGAAAATCCAGTGATTGTGTAGCTAAGTTAGAGGACCTTCAAGCCTCTTCATTCATCCTCCAATGAAGATGCTCTAGAGACAACTACAATGAACTGGTGTTTCCCTTGAACTCCCTCTCTGCCATTTCGCTCACATTCTGATGTCTGGATTCCATCATCTACAAGATTCTATTCTTCACTGGACACTTTGCTCCAGTGCTGACTAACCCAGTCGCCTCAAGGTCAAGGTTACCTTCCTCCCTTACTCATTGATTTACATAATGGGCTGCCCTGTCCACCTGTCATCTAAACATGCCAATCCTTGTCCCTACACCCTTAAGACATCCCAGGGGCTTCTCCACCACCCTGTACATCAGACCCAGGGATTCAACCCTGTCAACTCCAAAAGTTGATTAGATGCATGAACTTAGTCAAGTTACTTAAGAATACGGAGGGTCTTCACCAAAGAAAGGAGTTTACAGTGACCTTTTTGGTTTTTGAAGAAGAGATGGGCTAGCACAGCTGAACACTGAGCAGAGGTTCTGATAAGAAGGTCAGCTCATGCACCATCAGCCTTCCTCTCCTGGCTCCTGCAAGTCAGGCATCTCCTCTGTCCATACAGCTCCTGTTCCCACTGCTGCCTTCCTTTTCTAGGTTTCCCTAGCATAGGACTCAACATTTTCTGGATAGAGTCACTCTGGTCCTGTATTTTTAACATTGACATTGTCTCAAAAGGCTAATGACCTCTACAGACCACTTTTAAACCAACTACATTTCTTAAATGTGAAGGTGCCTTCAAATCGCATAGGATCATGCAGTCTGGAATAGGTCCTAAGATCCAGCATTTCTGACAAATCCTCAGGCACTGCCAAGGATTCTGGGGCATGGACACACTTCAGGTTGCAAAGAACTAGTAGTTTTTTTATGCTCTATTTTCCCACATGTCACTTCTTGAAATACAACCTAGGGTGGACAGAACGAGAATTCTTACTGTTGTTTTAGCACATGAAGATGGGATGCAATGCATCTGAAGAACTGCTAGCCAGCTGGGAGGAGGCCAGGGCCGAAGCTATTGGTCTTCCACCTGTACAAGTGCTCCCCTCACCCCATTCCACTCTAGCACCCAGCTTTTCTCCATTCAGGTAAATGCACTTGTCCTTGTGCCCACATGAAATGTCAAAGTTGGGGTTTCTGATGGTCTCTGGAAACCTCTGTATCTCTTCAACATCTACCTGTTTATCTCTGAAACACTAACAACACAGGTTTCTTGGACAAATGCCAGCGCCACTGTAAATTCTAGAAAGATTTTAGAATTCTTTTGAGACCATATAATGATCCACATAAGCAAGTAAAAATGAGACTTGGGTGTGAAGTCTCTCTCCTAAAGTTCCACTCCTCAGCAGGGCTTCAGCTAAGTGACTTATTTGCTGGGCTAACAGCACACAACTGTCTTCCCCTGCCCCTCAAAGAGCTCCTTCAAAACAACATTCATGCCCAGAACCAAGTTCTGAAACAAATCAAAGATCAGGATCACCGTGCCCAGCAATGAAAACAGAAACCAGCCATTGAGGTCTTCATTCTCTTCAGGCTTAAATTACTGTTCAATCACAACAACAACAACAACAAAGGCTAAATTAGCAAGGAATGATTTTACACAAACGACATTCAGAATAAAAACTAGCAAGCTAGTTTAAAGTGTTCTAAGGGAGGCATATTTTTTCTCAATATGGAAATAAAACAAAGTACGGAATCTGAAAACTTATCATACCATTTCTTGTGAGACATAATCTGGACTTTTTGTATCAGCAGAATAAAAAGAGAAGTCATAGGTGAAGGTCTTGGTCCGTTCTCTTCCTGAATCCCCAGTCCCTCCTTCCGGTATCTAGAAAGAGATGATTACAATAAAAACAACACTGGAAAGGGAATAATAACAATGGACAACAGAGCCCAAGGGGGGAAAAAAAGGAGTCTATTCCTAAAAGTTATGGAATGATCACCACTTTTTTATCTTTGCACTCTGAACATGAGGCTTTATTCCTCCTAGCCTCCCCAAGAGAATAAATAAAACTCTCATACAACCTAAACTTCCCCCACAATCTGAGTGCTGCATGTGATGACCCTAGGCTAACAGTCTTGCTGCTATTTTTTTCCCATCATAACTAACTTCCATGAAGCTTATGCTCTGCTCAGAGCTTCCATGACTTCCACGGCTCTCTCCGTTGGAATTCCCTGGGGCTGGGCTTTGCACAACTCTGCAGACTGCTACTGCCCCAGGAGATGGTTTGACGTGGTGGCCCCACTGAAAATTCCAGGTCAGGGGTCGGCTTCTCTATGAAGCTGCCTTTCGACATACCATCCAGAATTATTTCTCCCTTCTGGGGACCTGGATTCTCCCAGAGCATGTCATGTGATTATTGAAAATGTTTGCATATGTCTCATCTATTTTGCTACATGCTTAATTAGAAACCCCTACCACAAAAAAATGCTTACAAATCTTCACATAGTTTGTTGGCTATATGATGAATAAATTAGCACTAAATTCTCATTGTGATCCTTATCAAAAAACATTAAAATCCGGAACACAGGCAATAGCGAGAGTGGGGTATATTACTATGCTCCAAACCTGTATTATGAAATATGTGAAATTTGTTCACTTTATATAAATAAGATAATTTTTTTAAAAACCCATGAGCATCAGTTCTGGCAGCTCAAACAAGACATGAGATGAGGAAATGTTTGTAAATTCGAGAAGAGGAGAGCAGATTCCAGAACAGCCCATGAAAGGAGCTTGATCCAAGGCCAGGGGTCTTTTACCAAAGAGGCAAAAACATGAGGCAAAAAACACGGGAACCAACAGCACGGAGCCAGCAAGTGAAGACTGGCAGAAAGGAGAGGGTGCCAGCGGCCCGAGGGAGGAAAAACTCCATGCACGTGGGGCCAGACTCAGCTGCAAAGCCAAGGAGGGTGCAAAACAGAGAAGGAAAGTTCTGAGGAGAAGGGTTCAGGACAGGGCCCTCCAAGGAGGCCCAGCCAGTTATCCAGAACACATGCCCAACCAGAAGGTAGGAGTGAGCCATGCGACCCGGAAACTGGGTCTCAAAGTGCCCTGTCCCTTTGACTGCTCCTTTTACCTGAAGTATATTTCGGCCAGAAGTAGCAACCCTCAGAAATTTAATGACTACAAGGAGAAATGGGCTAAACCCAAAAGGCATGTGGTTTCTTTACTCATTTTATACCCTTGTTTCCCGCCTTTCGAAAAGTATTCAAGGCCTTTAACACGTGTGCTAACAGCAGAAACTAACCAGATGTTTAAGGGTAACTTGCCAACCTGAAAAGTTCAGCTCTGCCCCTTCTTCCCGCGCCCCCACCTTTCCCCCTTTCCTCTTCTCTCTCTCTCTCTCCCTCCCTCACATTAAATCTTTCATGTCCTGGGTTTTAAATCACAACATCAGCACTTCGTCAAGGATTACAAAGCATGGTTTTCATTGAGATGAAACGTGCAGGGCTCGCAAGCAGCTACCAAGAACAGGCTCCTTCACCAGGACACAGCGAGGTTGACAGAAGGGAGACAGCTGGGGCAGGGCGTCCAGACCCAGGAAACCAGCGATCGCAGCTGTGCTTGGGGACCAGGCCCCAGCCGAGGACAAGCTGAGGAGGAGGCTAACAGCTCCCAAGGCAATGTGCTGCTCCCTTCCAGCACAGGCCACCCCAGCCACCGAGCACACTTTGGGCTCCTGGAACTGGAACCAGCCAGGTCACCACTTACCTTTAAGTTTGTGATTGTTGTTTTGCTTTTCTCCATTTGAATAATGAACTTGGCCTCCAAGTCCTTTTCCCTACAACACAAATAATTTGGTACTGATCAGAAGATTATTTTTAAAAAAATCAACAACTTGTTTTATTGACCTTCTATGTATGGAGCTATCTGCTTTTATATGGCACCTGAAGAGCAATCTCTGAGGGCACTTCTCCCAAATCCCTAACACACAAAAACACGATGGCATGCAAAATAAATGGCACAATGACAATCACAAGCTGACACAATTATACATTGTCAAAACCTGGAAGAAGTTCTAACTCCAAAACAAGAGTAAATGAAATAATGAAAACCATAAAGGTCAAGGACTCCTCATAACAGCCTTCACACTCCCCTGGTAACCCACTGGCTTATGAAGACACATTAACCCTCCAACCAGAATGAAAACCAAGAGAAAGCCCAGAACAGTCAAACAGATGCTGTTCCTCTCACCTGCTACATCCATTCAGAAGAGAGCAGAGCAGGAAGCCAAAAGAACCCTAAGAGGATAGGGACTAAACAGATGGCGACTCATCTACACAACACAGGGCAGGCACCAGGAAGGCCTCTGTGCACGGCTAGGGCATGGTCGTCCACTTACATGGAGAGTGCAAGGTGCAGAAAAGACACAGGCAATCCCTGATATGCCAGCATTGCACTTGTGATGTTTCAACTACACATGGTGCAAAAATGACAATCATTCCATGCAAACTGAACTTCAGATGTAAATCTGGAGCACTCCCCAGGCTAGCAACTTGTTATACAGTACCTTCTGTGGATGCTGGACAGTGCAGTGAGCTGTTAACTCCCAGTCGGCCACAGGACCATAGCAGATATTTTACTGTGCTGGGCTGCTGAGCTGTGATGTTGAGTGGATTTTAAATGCATTGTCATGGCCAATAAGTACAATGGCTCAACTGACTAATCTTCCTCCTTCAAGCACCAGCATCCCATATGGGCAATGGTTCATACCCTGGTTGCTCCACTTCCCATATGCTCCCTGCTTATGGCTGGGAAATACAATTGTATCCACATTTAAAAATAAGAAGGGTAACCAATGCTTATCTTAAGAGGCCTCTCTGAAGCAAGACAATGAAATAGAAGAGACAGTAATAAAAGCTACATTCTGTGAATATAACTTGATTACTAGTGGATGCTAAAGTAAGATGAGCCATGCCAGTCTGGAGATAATGAGTGCCGAGTCCATGAGCCCCAGGGACAGAGGGACCCTTTGACCTGCCTGCAAGGTGGGTACTGGATCTGTGAGCCCCAGAGCCTACAGAAGTCATCTGATACCATAGCAAAGAATGGAGAACAGAACATATGGACAACTACCGCAGCCAAATGATGACAGCAAATATTTGATATTGGGTGGCCTTTCCCCATCCCCGGATACTGGGATGGTTGGGAGGTTGGTATGGCTTATCCCCTTATCTGTCCCTTACCCCCAGAAATAGGAAAAAAGAAAGTTTGGAAATAATGATCACACCCACTTCTCCCTAACCCTAGATCCTGCAGGGACCCAGTACTTGCCTAGTTAACATTACATCCACTCTGTGAAAATCCAAGGTGAGGTACTTACTGAGAGACTATCATAGAACATGAACATCTTCCTACTAGCCACTTCTAAAACCAAGGTGGAAATCACCTCCATGAAACCCTACACAGTGGAGTGTGACGCAAGAAGGTCAGGGGACATGCTCCCTGTTCCAAGGATCCAGAGCTTTCCTTGGTTTTGCAAAGAGCTATGTGACCTCAAAAGAAAAGAACCTCAGCTTAGACCCTTCTTACTCAAAATGTGATCTAGAAACTGGTGGGTAGCAACAGGAGGTGACAGGGGGCTGGGGTAGGCAGAGTCTGTTAGGAATGGAAGCACACAGTGCACCCCACCAAACCCAGGATCTGGTGAATGGAAACCCGCATTTCCACAAGTCATCATGGTTCCGATGAACATGGAAGTTTGAAGAGTACTGCTCTCATGGTGAAGTTAGTGCACAGTGGTACACCCATCTTGCATTTCATCTTACGAAATAAACTCCATAATACAATCTACTACCTACACTTGGGGAGCTCATTAACTTTGTTCTTGACCTTGAAGTCTTGTTTTAAGTCACATAATAGAATATGGATATCACACAAGTCAGCTGGCACCATTTACATCCTTTGCTCTTTAGTTGCACACTGGCTTTGGACTGAGGATAATACATGTCAGTCATGCTCTGATCCGAGAAGTCATTGGGTGCTGTGACATTCAGGTCCCTCATTCTCAACATCTTGGCAGACCATCAGCTTCTAGCCCTTTCCATCCTAGATCATTTCCCAACATCAGCCTAAGGTTGCAGCCAATAACTCAAAATCATTTTCAAAAATAATCGCATGTCACCAAGAAAACAGTGGAGGCCATCTGCTCCAGAAAGAAACTTTCACCAATAATTTCCTAGCTCACTTCCTTCTGTAAGCATCAAAACTGAAATAATTCCAAACATAATGTCTCCGTATTCATACCAAAGATGTCAGAGTTTTAGCCACAGAGAACAAATCTTGCTCTAGTTCCTGGAAACGTTTAGGGAAAAGCCATGTCATCGTCACAAGGGCTGGGGTTTCTGGTTGAAACTAATCCTTTGGCACATAATCTCCTTGTGTGTTTGAGGAGGGTGATCACACCCTCTGGAAAGCCTTCACCAAGGTCTCTGCTCTGACTCCCGGTTACATGGCCTTCCTGCTAACTCACCCACCAAACCATGACTTTAAGAGTAAGAAATATACCTGACTTCATTTACAAACCCAGTCCCCAGAACAGCTCCTGTAACCTTGGTGTACTCATAAAAAGGTTGCTGGCTGTGTCTGGTTGACCAGATGAGTGACCATGCCCAACTCCTGCTGATCTTCCTATTGACCCCTGCATCTCTGGGTTTTTGCTTCCCCTGTACTATGGGATCATCCTACCTCCCCGCTACACACTCAAACAAGGTTTATCTCAACTCTAGCATGAACTCATCTCAAAAGAAACTTTTGGAAACAACATCTCCTTATACACCTGCCTCACTCATCCTGCTCACAGGGGTTTCATCTTTGCTCATGTCATCTCTTGGGTTAGACCAAAAGACCCCAACAATGCAGGAACCAGCTTCCCTCACAACCACGCCCTGCATGTGCTGTGCAAAAGGCCAATGCATGCTGTCAGCAGTGACTGTCTTGTCTCTTGAGCCTGCAGCTGAGCACATGGTAAAACACCAGGCAGTGAAGTGATTCGGTCTCAGGTCAATTTCCTCTGACATTTAAGAAACATGGGAAATAAATCTTGACATTTCTCTTACATTGAGGAAAATAAATAATCTTAAAGTATTATTGGAACATTGATTTGATAATAGAGCAAAATGAACTATGTCTCTCCTTGGCCACTTGGGTGAATTGGGTTTCTCAACCGAAAAGTCAATTACAGTCCCTTCATATAAATAAGTAATTTATTTGAAAGGTCTGGAAACTAGATCATAAGATGCTACAAATGAACCAGCTGGAGTAAGTATACTGAGTTATAGAACAATACAGGGGAAGGGGAATTGGGGATGGAAAAATTTAAACACTCAAGGAAATAGATGTAGATGCCAGCTCTCAGATATGTGATTAGCATAATGCTTATTAGGGAAAAAATACAACCTTATGCTAAATCAGCTATTTTGAATGTGTGTTTTAATTATTCAGCAATTCAAATTGATCCCATTCACTCAAATGAAGGTATTTGGTCAAGCCACAATAAACAACTACACGGGATATCAGAACTTCCAAACTGCACCATTAATCGAGCACATTCTTCAATAAAGGTTTTGAAGCAAACCAGAATCCCCACCTCTACCTCCAAAGTCATACACTATGATTAGATTCAATATTCAACTGCCTTTATTGTGCTGTACTTTCGGGGGGAAAAAAAAAAACCCATGAGCACTATTTATACTAATTTGTAAAGAAGTCCAAGAAACACTCAAAGCAGAAGAGCGAGCAAGCAGCAGAACAGCATGTGGACAGGAATCCAACTTGTGTTTCAGTAAGTGGATAAACAGGACAATGGAACATGCACGTCAGTGTCTGAATGCCCAGGGGCACTCTGAACATCCCAGGAGAACCCCCTCCAGGGAGAGCATAGGAGCCAGTACAGGGTGGACTGTGCCCTTAACCATTTCATTGGTAGAACAAACTGCAGCATTATTCAATGTTATTTCCATAATGAAAATAAATTTAACCCATGAAAGGCAGGAAGACCCCGTACCCTAGGACAAGTGTACATTCCCATGTGATATGAAATGAGGGCAGGCTGACTCCCCTTTCTCCTGACAGCCTGGTCCAGCCACAGGAGGACATATCCAGAGCCTCACACTGCCACTTGTCCCCAGGCCACTGGCCAGCCTCAGGCACTGACAGAGCTTCCTCTCCACTCTGCAGCCCACCGCACAGTGTCCAACACCAAGAGCCAGGCCCAGCTGCCCTCTCTGGGAAGCACTCCTGCGCCTGAGGCTGATCACTGACACCTGTGCTCCGTCCAGTGACACTTCTGTCGCTCTTCGTCAGCGTTCTGGATGAAACATACGATGGCCAACTGAACTGAATTTCAGCTAAAGAATCAATAGCTTTTCTATACTTTTCTATACAACTCAGTCTCACATAACACATGGGCACAGTCTTGCTTATGGCCTCCTAACTCCACCATCACTGTCTCTCACTCAATCATCAACACCCATCACGCTCTTCCACATAGGGTTGCCCACTCTATACGCCAAGCCTGGAGCACTCCCAAGTCTAGGAGTCACTGTCCTCGTTAGCCAGTGTAAAATCCAACCACTGTGCAGCTGCTCCCTAACTGTTCTCTACCAGGTAACACTCTCATTCCTTCTTTTGAATGGAAGTTAAGCCACCCAGCCTCAAGTTCAGAGCTATGGTGCACAACAGGACTACACCTTAGGGACCATGATCACTAAAGTCCAACTGGGATTTCTCATCTGTACCACATAACACCAAAGTTGCGTGAATCACAATTTCTCCCACTTA